GTTAGGAAATATCTTGGAATTTGGATACATATTGCGGCATGATTGGGGCAATCGAACCCTGTCGTTCGATCGATTTCTCATTGCAGGCCTTCGATCGCGGATTCTTCGTTGGATTAGTGCATTGTCAGGATTATCTTGGTGGTGAGGTGGGTGCGAAGGTGACGGGTAGGAGTTCTGCTGTGCGCGGTATTCGCGGTACTATGGTGAAAATGCTCTTTAGGCACCTCAATTCTGAGTATCCTATTCAGCATTGCTGCCCGTGCCATTCTTATTCTTTGATTGCAGTTCTCTCTCTCTCTCTCTCTATTCATCCACCTGCAATGTCACAATGTTGGTGTGATTTCTGAAAATGTGTGAAAGTATGAGATGTCGTGTACAGTGTAATATAATATGATGGTATCCCTTAATTAATATATATATATAGGTAAACTACGATTTACAATAATTAACGCATGTTCGCTGAGGATCGGTTACATCTATCGTGGTCTTTGACCGTTGCTAGTGGGGTTCTGAGGGGGTGCTGAAGGGGGGAGGGCAATGGGGTTCGTTGCGTCGGACGTAACATGCTTACCCGCCTTTGTCGTCTCTGTAGCCGTCATTTTTGTTACAAGACTGCTTTTCATTCGAAATAATTTGGTCCATTGATTGCATAGTATTCTTGCACTAGATCGTCGTCAAAAATGGACAGTCAAAACTAACTCGGTTAATCAAATAAAAATTAAAGTATTTGTCCTCCGCGTCAATTTGATTTTTTCACTAAATCCACTCTATTGAAACTGTCGAAGACTATCAAAAATAAGAAAGTGCATAAAAAAAGAATTATCATTTTAACGGAAATATATCAATCCTTCATGCTGGTTAACAATCAAAATCGAATGATAAGACGTTTTGTGTCACCCTAATAGAGATAATGTACCTAATAGATCCTATAAGAATGTTCTTTGAAAAAAGAGTTTATATGTAATAGGGTCTCTCTTCTGCTAATGCAAGGACAATCAATGTAATCAATTGAATTCAATTAATGGCATTCCACGCACAGAACTACTCGCTATCCCACACCCTGATGAAATTACGCAGAATACCTCCTCACCCTCATGGAACTCGCATTCGAATCTTATTGCAAGCAGCAATTTAACCAATAGCCTTACAGCTTTGAATATGGGCATATTCATATTGGATTTTTTTGCACCGCATTCTAACGTACAGCGATGAGCAAAGTGGAGGGGAATCCTTCCTTTCCTTATGGCTGACTCCTCCAATGAGGAGATGTGCCAATAAGTGGAGGGGAATCACATAATGTAATCAGTAGATCCAGAGATGAGTAGGGAGATTGCCAATGAGCCTGTTTTTGGTGGTCTCAATTTTTCTCTGGTTTCGGCGCGCCACCTTAGCGGAGGGCCATCAAAGCAGTTCCGCGTTTTTGATTGGTCGTGTATATATAGTAATACTACGCGTGATAATCTGGAGCTGTGTTTTGGCGCGTCGACGCGCCACCTAAACGAGACTCTCGAACTAGTTCCACGTTTTTGATTGGTCGAATGATTTCGTGTGTTCCTCGAGATCCACAATTTTAAACCGGGTGAACACTCAAATAGGGAGACTTGTATCCACCTTTTTTTTTACAGGATATTACATAAACCGTAGTAATAA